CCCCAAAACCCCAAAACCCCAAAACCCCTATATCTAATATTAAGTTTTAATATCTGTTAAGGTGAATAATCAAAATAATAAAATCAAAAAATATTATTGGATTATTAGAAATAACTTTTTAAAATAAGACTCTTATTTTGCTATAAATCACATTAGTCTAGATTTTATGACAGTGTGCCAACCTGCTACATAGAATAAAACTGTCATTGAACATAAGACTATATAGCATTCCTTTCCCCCATAAGTGTAGCTAAATTTTTCAAAGACGTAGTCTTTACCAGTGGAGAAGAAGTAATATGATTACAGTTTATTCGTTCATTTATTATATTCCCAAAAATAAAAGCAAAAATCAACATTTTTCTTCATAAAAAACTAGATATTTCTTCCTCTATAATATCTTGATTCCTAATTTACTGAAGCTTTTATTTTTATTATTACTAAATTTATTTTTTCTTTTACTAAATTATACTGTTTACATCTTCAGGTATCATACTAATGAATTTAGTTGTATCATTAATTTTATAAATTCCATATAGTTTTTCAGCAAGCTCAAACATGCTATTTCTCAGACAAATTATAAAAAATTGGCTATTATTAGCTCTCTACTTAATATACTCTCCTACAATAACCACATTTTTTAAATCAAGAGCTGCATCAACTTCATCCATAAAATGCAGAGGAGAAGGCTTGTAAATGTGCAGAGCGAAAATTAATGCTAAAGAGCTGATTGTTTTTTCTCCGGCTGACAGTATCTTCATATTCTTCCAAGATTTCTTTAGAGGTCTTACATTGAATTCAATTCCTTCACTAAAAGGATCAAGACTATCAACTAAATCTAGTTCTGCATCACCTCCATTAGTGATGAATCTGTAAATCTACTTTAATTCTTTTGCTATAATGCTGAAGCCCTGAAGAAAATCACTTTCTCTTTGTTTTCTTACTCGATATAATTGATCCCTTATCATTAGCTAATACATATTAATTCCCATTAACTCTGATTCTTTTTACTACTTTTGCTAGGATATTTTTTGGTAAGAATTAATGATATCATAATTCATTTATTTTTTGGAGATTTATTACTCTAACCTATCCTAAGTTTTCTTTAAAAACCCAAAGTCTTTTGATAAAAATTCTAGAATTTCATGGTCAAATTAATGAGCTATATTATATTCATCTGTAAAATACTCCATTCTTTATTTTTTGGTCATTAAAGCATAATCAGTGGCTTATGATTTTATATTTTTTTATTATTACTACTTAGATTTTTTATTTTTTTGCTAGTTAGAATGAATAATATGACCTACATTTTAAATTAAGTCAATCTATCTTCTTTTTACATTTATCTATTGAATTTCATCATCATTCATCAAAGAACTGATTTCATGATCATTTTGCTGATATTATTCAATAAGATTATTATTATTTTTGTTATTTATTTCTTTCTATTTAACTTAGTCAATTTCAATAAATGCCTCCTGAAATTACAGAACAAGCAATTAACACTTCTCTCTATTTTTCAAGAGACTTTAACTAAGTTAATCATTCTTTTCTCTTAAAATGAAAGATTTATAACTTTCCTCATCAATGAGCAGTTTCTCATCATTATACTTTTGCATGACTTTGTCTAGTTATTTCTTAAGAATAAGTTATTATTTTTCCATGTTTTTAATTTCTTAACTCTTAGTTTTTAATTCTTCAATATTTTATTTTGACTGTAAATTTATTCTCTCAATTTCCAACGAAATCTGTTCTAAATAATTTTTTTGTTCCTCAATTTATTTTTCTGAATCTCTCAAAGACATATCTTAATGTGATTTACTATGGTCTATAATAGCAAACGTTTGATTTTAATTTTCAAGTTTACTCTTATTACTCAAAATTACTTTATCAAGTTATTAAATTTAATTATCAATTTCAATAATTTCATCTTTAATTTTATTGTGTTACGGAGATTTTGATTAATTTATATTATTATCAATCTGATTTAGATTATCTTACATTCAATCAATCTAGTATTTCAACTCATCTAATTAATCATTAAAGATTTAAATTTGATTTTAGTTATCCTAGATTTTCATAAATTACTGAAGATCCACAAATTCTAATTAACCTTTTAGTTGCTAAAGCCTTCTTTCTTGATCTTACTTGTGCAAGTTTAACTGATCTAAATAGATCATGTTAGTTTCAATTTAAATATCTGATTATCTTATTTCACTTTAAAGTTTATTATAATCATTCTAAAGTTATGGTTTTAATTCCTTTGCTTCTCTGATTTACCCATTGAGTTCTTCTATTTCATTTTCAATTTTTATTGAATCTTCCTCCTTATATTAACATGCTTGTTAGTCATTTAATGACATTCCTCCCTATTTTGGATTACCATCTCCATTCATGCTGCCTGATTGTTTTATTAGTTATCCTTGAAGTGTAACTACTCTATTATGTATTTCATTTTATTAGTATGCAATTTCAATCGCATCATCAAAATTTTATGTAACCAATGTATCTTTCAAGGCTGAATAAAATGCTTTTCTTAAATCTTTATTTTAGACTTTTATCAGATCATATAATCTTTTTGCTTTTGGGGGACAAATATAATTAACAACTTCTTTGCTATTTGTTATATCTTTTATTTAATCCAGAGGCATAAATTTGCCTTTAGCAATTTTGTTATTCCTTAGATACCTCATGCATTCCTCAGCCTGATCAAATCTTAGAACCACAATATGATCTAACTTACCACATGATGTAGTTATTGCAACTTCATACATCTTATCAATTGATCCTAAGTCTCCTAGCCTTCCCAAGATTCCACTTAGTCTACCTCTCTTTTATGCCTCTAGCAATTTAAATAGTACTTCTCTTTATTCTCTATAATTTTTAATATAGTTTCTAATTATATATGATTTATCTTTTTTCTCGCACAACAATTCCTCTTGCTTTAAGATATTGGATTGGTAGAATTCGAGCTAATTTTCTAGGATATCTAATTCTTATAATTGATTATTTTTATGAGTTTAAAAGTCTTTGATCTACTATGTATATAATTCAATATTTAATTAGTCTTTTTCTATCGCTTTATTTACACTATTATAAATTTATTTATGTAAAATTTTTACCTTTGATATTCAGACTCAAGTTTTAATTGATTACTCTCGATAATATATATTTCAGATTGCCTATCTCTAAGTATAGTTTACTTCTCTTATCTCTGAAATTATAAGGGCATCAAGATCTACATTATATCCTCTCTTTCCTTTTTAAGATTTTAAGTCATTTCTTATAGACTTGACTCAAAGATATTAAGTTCAAGCTCTAAAGTTTCTCTTTATGTAATTAAACTATCTCATTCTTTCTCTTATTTTGGAATATCATTATGTATCTCTGAAAATTCCTAGACTTTAATAGCTTTTTAAGTCTCAATTTAGATAATATTCATTTTAGTATTTTCGATTTGCTAAGCAATTTATCTTATTTCAAATTTTTTTATCTCTTCATTATAAGAATACTATCTTATTTAGCTTCTTAAATCTTCATTTAATACTTTAATTCTCTCCATTTCATCATTTAAAATTTGAGATCAACTCACAACATCTTGATAGTTTAATTTAATTTTTTTCTTTTCCTCCTTCTATTTTTAACATTTATTTTTTAACGTTTTTAACTGATCTCCTAATTTTTATATTTCCTTAGATTTCTCTCTTATCTCTATCTGTATAACGATATTTTTAAGTAAGTAAAACTCTCTTTCAATGTTCAAGAATTTGAAAGCAGTATCTTTTTGTTTTTAAACTTTCTTAAGTAAATCATTAGTTCTGAATAAATCTAGCATTTTGCTTTATCTATTTTCTTGCCCATCTTATTATAATTTTTCTATTTCATCAATTTCTTTGATGTACTTTATGGTTCCTATTATATCTTCTAAGTATTCAAGCAAACCCACCTCATCTTTTTTCTAGGCTTTGGGTGGCATTAATGATATTTGCTCAACTTCACCCTGCAATATTAAGAATCTGTCATGGTTGAGATCTATTCCTTTTTATTTAAGTAGCTCTGTCATCTATTCGTATTCACAATCATTTCCGTTGATAAAATATTTAGAACTACCATCCTTGTAGACTGTCCGTGATACCTTGAAATTTGATCCAGGAACTATAATGTAGGTATTTTTCATAGCATAATCATCATAGATATCATGAAATTTTATTTTCACTGAAGCTTTTTCTAAATTCTAGTGCTTTCCGCTGCTATGAATAAGTTACTATAGTCTATCGAATCTCATTTGCTTAGCCTTCTTTCCAAATACAAAAAGTAGAGATTCAATCAAATTTGATTTACCTGAGCCATTTGGACCTACAATAGCAGTAAAGCATTTATGTAAAGGTCCAATTTTTTATTTCCCATAAAAAGATTTAAAGTTTTCCAGAGTAATCCTATCTATCATCAATCTTTGTTTTCTCTGATTCACAATTCATTTTTAATTTGATTCGTTATTTATTGTTTAGACTTCTGGGTTTAGCATGGCTTGATTATTATTCAACATATTTTTGTAATTATAAATAATATCTTTGTCTAATATTTGTTTTAAATTTTATTTCAATAACTGATTTTTAATCTTAAATCTCGGGGTTTTGGGGTTTTGGGG